TGGAAACTTTCATTTGAAAAACAACACATATTCACCAGTTAGGTTAAAGAGAAAGTACCTGAGTTGGAAGGTAGAATAAAGGATGTTGGGTTTAGGGTTTTAGGGTGGGAGAAGGAAGGAGAAATTTTAGAAGAAAGGAAGAGTGCAATGAGAATGAGAATGACTTGGTGTTTTGAACTGTAAAGAGTCTAACAGTTGCAAAATTCGCTTAAGCCAATATTATTCGCTTAAGCGAATTACAACATTCATATTTTTTGCTTAAGCGGATATCTTAAGTGAAAATTCACTTAAGCGATTTTTGTTCGCTTAAGCGGATGACTTTTTAAAGTGGCGCCAAAGATCAATGGGATGATGTAGTGAGGAAGTAATAAAGATAAAGCCTTCCTTGAAACACTCTGCATCATTTCTCTTGTCTGAAGACATCATAAAGAATGGAATAGACTCATCTAAATCTACCATTTCCCTAGAGTTGTTCTAAGGAAGTTCCTACCATCTTCTTTTTGAGGTAAACATTTATTTCACATTGTGTTTTCATTTACCATCTTCTTTTTGAGGAATCACAGCTTATGTTCTTCCTTTGTATTTTTTGTGTTAAAAAGGAAATGGAATGCATTGCATGGAAGCCGCATGTTGGGTTACAGTTTGACACTCTTGAAGAAGCATGGAAATATTGGTATGAATATGGAAGGATAGCAGGATTTGGTGTGAGGAAACAATATTATAATAGGAGAAAAGTTGATGGTGTAATTTCATCTTGTTGGTACGTTTGTCGTAAAGAGAGACGTCGAAAGGAGGATAAAAGAAATGCAATAGTTACAAAGCACAGGGCAGAAACTAGAATTGATTGTCTTGCAAGAATAACATTGTTTTTGGGAAGCAACAACAAATATGTTGTACATGAGTTTGTTGAAGAGCTTAATCATCCATTACAACTTTCAGAAACAACACACATGCTTGCTTCGCATCATAAGATAATTGAAGTTCAAGCTCATAAATTGATTTGGCCGAGTCCTCAAGATTGCAACAGAAATAATCATTTCAGCTAATGAGCACACTTGCAGGACATCGAGCTAATGTTGGCTATACTCCATTGGATGTAAAAAATTATTTGAAGGGTAAGAGACAAAAGGGAATGTTATATGGAGAAGTTGGTTGCTTAATGGAATACTTTCAAGGACAGTTAATCGAGAACCCATCATTTTTTCATGCATACCAAATGGATGCTGAGGAACAAATTACAAATATCTTTTGGGCAGAAGCAAAGATGGTAATTGATTACGGGTATTTTGGTGAAGTCATATCACTAAACACTACATATTGCACCAATCGTGCTAATAGGCCTCTAGCCTTATTTTCAGGTTTTAATCATTATCGAGGTGTTGTTATTTTCAGGACAACATTGTTGTATGATGAAACAACATAATCATTTAAGTAGTTGTTTGAGACCTTTTTAGAAGCACACAATCAAAAACAACTTCAAACCATTTTTACAGACCAAGATCAAGCAATAGCAAAGGCAATTGTTCAAGTAATGCCTCACACACATCATGCTTTATGCACATGGCATTTAATACAAAATGGCATAAAACACCTTGGCAATTTGATGAAAAAAGAAAGTCATTTTTTAAGAGAATTGAAAAAATGCATGTATGACTTTGATTCTTCAATTGAGTTTGAGGAGGCTTGGAAAAAGTTTATAACAGAATACAATGTTGAACAAAATTCTTGGATTACTTCACTTTATTCCATAAAGGAGAAATAGGCATCATGTTATCTCAAGGATGTGTTCACCCTTCGAATGCGAAGTACTCAATTAAGTGAAAGTTTAAACTCTGATTTCAAGGCATGTATGAAAGTGGTGTTGACATCAAATAATTCTTTGCTCATTTTGAACGATTTGTTGAAGAAAAGCCTTACAATGAACTGAAGCATGAGTATGACTCCCACCATAAGCTACCTATGTTGCAGTATGAGGTGTCACTAATCTTAATACAAATGGCAAAGGTTTACACAAATACAATATTTAACTTATTCCAACAACAATTTGCTCAATTCTTAGCTTGTAGGATATCCCAAAGGATTGAAACTCCTCCTCTAATTGAATACGTGATTACTAAAGTCCATCAACAAAGATCATGGACAGTTTTTGAACCTTCTTCAAGCACTATATATTGCTCTTGTAAGAAGTTTCAAACATTTGGCATACTTTGCTGTCATGCATTAAAAGTGTTTGAAGCCAATGATGGGAAGGTTGTCCCTGATAAATACATACTTAAGAGATGGACAACACAAGGTCGTAGTGGGATTATTCACAATGTCAAAAGAACAAAGGTAGAAGAAGATTCTAAACTTAGTGCCACACGCCGATACCGTAACCTAGCATGTAAAATGATTAGGTTGGCCTCTGATGTTTCCAGTTCAGAAGAATATTGTCAGCTAGTTGATGGCAATATTAACAACTTAATTGGCAAATCACAAAGTTTCGGTTGCAAACAAACAGTGTTATGGATAAAGACAAAGATGATGCAAAAATTATGGCCAATAATGATGGTACATAACCTAAGGGATTCAAGCGACGACCAAGCACTAAGAGAAAAAGGAATAAACGTTTCAAAAGTTAGGTTGAGCTACAAGCAAAGAGAAAAAAGAGTAGAACACCATTTTTAAATCAATCAGCATCTCAGGTTCATTTATATAGTGATTTTGAATACCAGTAAATACAATTCAGTTAACTTCCATATTATAATCATATAATGTAACAATGTAGGTGTTCATATCTTATAGGAATGTCAACCAATGGTTTGTGATCTGGTTGAAGTACATTGTTCGGCACCTCCATGTTATGATCCTCCTCACACATTACTTAATCAATTAAGTTTCACAGATTTGTTGAGAATAATAATTTTTAACTTAACTTTACATTGTCTAATCATTAATGTTGGTTCCTAATATCTCTTCTTATTTTGTAGGAACAACTTCACGATACCAATGATATATTTTTGGATGATATTTGATTGGATTGGAATGGAATGGAATGGCTTCTTTTGTTATTGACTTGTCTATATATTAATGAATTATTTTTAGTTATGCATCATTGTGAACAATTGTGTACCATTATTGAAATAGAATAGAATGGTCTACTATCCATCTTTTGGTGTCATATTTAACTGTTTTTGGATGACTGGAATTGACATTGATAATAAATTTTACAAAATTTTACCCTCTGATAACATGGTGTCAGTTTCTGTATAATTTACTCTTTTTTTGCATAATTCGCTTAAGCCCTTATTTTTGCTTAAGTCATTCACATTTCGCTTAACCATTCAAAAATAGGCTTAAGCCATTCACAATTCGGTTTAGAGGCCTGTGCATCAGTGCTTTCTGTCCCAAATTCACTTCATTTTAAATAAATTCACTTGCTTCCGTTTCAAGCCAATAACATTTCGCTTGAGCGATTTTAAAATGGCTTAAGCGATAAACTACCCTAAAATTCCTGATCCTCTGTCCAAAATTCGCTTAAGATTAAATATATTCGTTTGGGTTAAGCGGAGTAATTTTATATTCGCTTAAGCCATTAATTGTCGCTTAAGCGAGGATTCACCAACCTCGCTTGGACTCGCTTTGAAGCCTGAATCCCATAATTGTGCCGCTTAAGCCATAAATCACCATTCAAGCAAAAATTTACTTAAATTCGCTTAAGCCGATCTAAATTTGTTTAAGCGAATGGCGACAGAAGGGTCATGTTCTGGCGAGAACATGAGAGGATTCGTATCCCTTTATAACACACCTCCAACCAAAAGGACAAGGGAATTAGACACCTATTATATACCAAGAGTTGTTGGATCGTCAACAAATGGGCTTATGCTCCAAGTATGGTGGGAAATTTCATCCACTTTAACAATGCCCAAACTGTCAATTGAAGATAATGGCCAGTTCCGAAGAATGCCAAGGGAGTAAGGGGATTTTTAGGACTTACTGGCTATTCCAGAAAATTTGTTGAAGACTATGGCTATTGGAAGATAGCTCGCCCATCAACCGACCTCACAAAGAAGGATGGGTTCAACTGGAATCCCAAGGTACAAAGGGCCTTAAATCTATTGAAAGAGAATTTAATAACAGCCCCTGTTCTCACCATTAGTGTTAGGGCCCTAATGTGGTCGGCAATTGTTCCATGGGCCCAATGTTTGGAGGGTTTATACTAGAAGAAACCAGAAAGGAGTTGCATAGGGTGGGGAGGCAGTGTGAGAAATTGTTATTTGCTGAGGGGTGGAGTGGAGCATGTCCATAAAGGTGTTTTTGTTAGCGGAGAGAGAGTATCTTGGAGAATCTTTCAGTTAGTATGAATGGAGAGCAATAGCTCTTTGTAGGAGCTTAGCTCTGGACAGTGGTTGTTTTCCCTACTGAATCGTTTCTTTCCAATAATAGTATTTTCTCATCACTATCTGTTTACTGTCTTATCTGGTATTTGATTGAGTTTGTATAAAAAAATGTGTCCAAGACTGTTTATTTACTGTTAATTACAGAACTTTATAGCAATTTCCGGGCTGCAGAAATTATGTAAGACTAACGAGTAACGACATCTTTTCATGAATTTTTTTTTCATTTACTCGATTCAATTTTAAGGGTGAAGTGGTTCAAACACGTACTAGTAATTGAATCATGCAACTTTTCATCCAGTATATCTTATCTCACTCATTTCTTTGAAAATATACTTCAAAAAATTAGTTTTTTAACCGGAGTGAAATTGATTGATACTCGTGTTTGTGCAGAGGAAAGCATGATATGGAGATTTTGATATCATAAATTTGAGCTTAGATTAACATAACATTATGTAAATATCTTCTAGTAAATCCTTAGAAACATAACAACTAAATCATAAAATTGAATGTACATTTTGGCACATGCATGAAAGAGAAATAGTACATGTACATATAAAAAAAACATGCATAACCATCATTCAATGGTTACAAATTCTGAACTACTCAATTTTCTTTAACTTTGCTAGTATAAACAATGGATATTTTCTATGAAAAACGATCATGTTCAAACTAAGTAAACAATAAAGTCTTTTCTTTTGAATATTTAACACAACTACATTTCTACAGACTCAAAACAATCACTAATTAAGTTAGAGCAACCCCACATAAGTTGATCCATGTGGTCAATAACTTCAATATTTGAATTTGAGGATTATGTTAAAAAAATTTATGCGCATATATTCCTCTAAATGAAAATAAGAACTTTTAAGTTACAACATATCAATAATCCAACTAACTTTTACTTGAACAAAAATTTTCATTCTTGCAGTTGCGGCACACGTCGGATAGCAACAACTGCTTCTGAATACGAGTTGCAAGCTGAGAAACTTTCTCATCGTCTAAATTAAGGGGCCGCCTTAGCAAACTCTATAAACAAGGAACTTTATTGATTATATGAATATCATATCAAACTTTTAAGAGGAGATGAAATATTACCTCAGAAGCCCATAAGCAATCGGATGCTTTACGTGGAATTATGTGGATATGAGTCTGAAATGCACGTTTTATAGCAAAATAAGCCACATTTCAATTTTGCAGAATGTAGAGAGCAAAATAAATATACGATTCCATGAAAGTGCAAGCGTATGGAAGAGCTAAAATCTCACATGGTATATTACTTGGCCAGCAGCTGCACCACTGTTGACCAACAGGTTGAATGAATCTGCAGAATTCCAAACATCCTATTAAACTCTGGCATGAAATATAATGTCATACAGAAGTATCAAAAGAGTAGATGATCGGCAAAGCTTATATGAAAATGACAACTTGAAGGGTAATAATAATTTTCTCCAAATAAGCAACACTAACAGAAGTTTGATATCCTGCACCGAAAATGGTTAAAACTACGAAAGATCCATAGAAGCCACATTATATAAGTTAATGACTTTTCCTCATTGTTGCCAGAAAAGCCATAGCAGGTAATCGGGGTATCCATAAGGATATATGCTAGTAGGGTTTCTATTAAGTTTTGAAATCTAAGCCATATAAGAGGGCTAAACATAGCAAAATTTAGATAAATGTACAAATTTTGAAGTACATACTGCAGCCAGTAGCCTTCATGATTGCATTGCTAATGAAGGGCACTTTTGAACACATGGCTGCTACCACCTGTACATAAGCCAATCAGGCTACGTAAATAAACAGAACCATTGTTTCACATTTACAAAATATTTAAACTGGTTAAACACAAATGTACACCATTATGAAGATCTTAGTATCTTACTATTGCACTTTACAGAGTAACAAGTTTAGCAGAGTTTACAAGCTTGATGAAATTGAAAAAAATGAAAGAAGAAAGGAGACTCAGAAGAGATATTAACTGAAATATTCATAAGATTATTAAGATGCGAGCCTCCATTATGTTGTTTATTTGGTCATCCACTGTCATCTTGCCCTATTTATGCATTTTCTGTCTCATAACTAGGATCTTATGTTAAAAACCAGAAATCAGAGACAAATGAAGAAGCTCCTGTTGATGCATAACACAACATGCCACAAAGTTCTCAATTATTTTCAATAGGAAGCCACCTCAATTCTCAGTCACTACCCTAGGGGTTGGTACAAAGGCTTAAACAAGTTCTTTCACTGATTAAGTAGAGATACCAGCACATATGCATGTTGTTTCTTAGCCTTAAACAATAACAAATAAAGCTATTTTCATTTAAATTGCCTAATTATTGATAACACCAGTATCATCTATCACAAGAACTGAAAGGATTTTAAACAAAAGCTTTATAAAATTACACACAGAGTACACGAAAATAGAAATCTGGTAGATAAATATCCCTACCAGCCTTAGAGCCAAGGCTCTCCTCTGAGAAATAGTTCTCAGCCTTACAAAACAGAAAAATACGTACTGCAGAAACTACCATAGCCCTTCCTATAACTATACAAATAAGTAACCGACATTACTGCCCTATTACTCTATCAAATAATAGCCCTACAATATAACTTGCCTATTATTAATTTTAGCCTGCTATTTTCTTATTTCTCCTTGAGTAAACAAGCCACATTTTAGGTTTTTTCTCTGCATGATCCAGAACTTGACACATATCTTGATTCTGGGTTGTAACAACCTTCGTAAAGGACTTTTCGTTATGGAGAAAGAATTTATCATCAACTTAAAATAATAGTGTGAAGTCAGTAAAGAAGTAAAAAAAATAAATTCAATTTTGTTCCTATTGAAAATTACTTACTGATGAAGGAGTAGCATCCAGTGAAGGAAAATGAGATTTTGGGATAATGAGAGAGTGCCTAGTGAACACAATGTAGAAGTGAGTGGTAGAGAAACAAACAATGTCATGCAGAATAGTTGAAAAAGTAAATGGAATTGGATGGTATTCCAAATGAATATTTCAGAATTCATCAAAACCACAAAACTTTACATCACTTTCTTTTCACTTTTCTTTCAAATTAAATTGCACTGTAAAGAATATTTGTTTTGAAGTGTAACACCCAAAAAAGGGAAAACTTGATTTATCAATTTGTTTGTGGACAACATAATCTCATTTTATTCATCTTGTTGGAAACAAGTATAATTTTAAGATTTATATACTTATGGGGAATCAAAGTTTGAATCCCATGGCCGTTCTTGGGCTGATGTGATTAAGATGAGAGGAAAGGGTTACCCATTAGATATTGTCACTCTTAGAGGAGGGGTCACCCCCTTGGAAGATGGGGCTATCAATGAGATGGAATTGTCCAAATTTGGTTTTATCATGTGTGACCTTCATAATGTTAAAACCCACAAAGTAGCTATTTTACAAATAGTTATATTTCATCATCACCTTTACATATTAATTTATTAAATTACAAATTTCGTAACTTCATTAATTTTGTTCTACCTCTTTCATGTATTTTTAATCAGATTACCATATAACTGAGTACAAGGTTGATTGGAGTTGCAGACTTGCAGTTCTCTCCATTAACATTTTTTTTGGTATCCTGTTATAAAGGTGGCCCTTTTTTTCTTGGGACTTTGACACTGCAGCTGTAGAAGATTAGTTTTGGATTGTACTGGACCTTTTAATACTGGAGACATTATATTTTCTTTCTTGTTGTTGCTAGTAAGTGTTGTGCGTATGTGTTTGAGCATGCGTTTAGCATTTTTGGAATGTTAAAATTAGAGGGGAAACTATCGAAATTTTGACATATTTTTCAGATATTATTTTGCTTAATTTATTATTATGACACGTAAATTTACTAGGCTAAGTGATGTTCATGTTAACTGTTTTTGTACCAAACTACCAGTCATGGCTTCAAATTGAGTTGTGACATTAAGTGAATGTAAGGGGGAAAAGTTACTGGCATCAAATATTAACTGATAGAAGCACTATTCATTTAAAGTAACAATTCACATATAAAAAACTGCAAATACATGATTCTTATTTACTCCATGCAAGGCCATATGTACAAGTACATAAATTTGTCAAATAACACAAAACACAACTATGCCTCATAATAAAACTATAAGGAATTGCACCTTGGACATATGATACCTTACCCAAGACTCAGCGGATTTGTATCCAATATGCATAGGCACATGTCATCTTCATAAAGCTGTTAGTTTGACAAAACATTAAGAAAAGCAGAGTCAAGGTCACTTATGAGAAACTTGGTTGGATTGAATATCAATTATCGGAAACAACAACAAACAAATACGATGATTAAAAATGTAAACATGTTTAGAAGAATTAAACAGAGCATGATTAACAATTTCAAATAGTCCCTTATGTCAAAGCATTAAAGCTAAGGGTATCCTGGTCTTATAAAGCTACCACCATATGTAGGTAACTAGGTATGAATCCCTACCATGCATTTGCAAGAGGCTGATCCCACAACTCAAACCGAACCTCTAGGTCACATGGTGACATGGCTCCCGTTAGTCAAAGCATGAAGCTAACAATGAAATTTATAGTTGATTATTTAGTGTTCACAATTTACCTACTGAGATAAGCCTTGGTTCTTGTTAATTGTTGTTGTATTGTTTAGTGTTCACAGAAAATTTTTCTTGAAGTATTTCAGTTGTTTATACTTCAAAACTAGGAAATTCCATCTCAAAACATATGCATAAAAAAAAATGAATGAAAGAAAAATCTGTAAACCTCCAAACCAACAGCTGTAAAATTTTCAAGTTGTATAAACAAGGTGTCAAATGTCAATACTAATTCAATTACCCCCCCCCCCCATTCTCTCTCTCTCTTAGATTGATGTAATGAGCAAAATGTAGTTTCAATTTCAAGATGAAACTCCAATCGATGACAACCCTCCATTCTCTGATCAACCAAATTCGGAACTACATTTTTGAAACTACATGGTTTCCAATTTAGAAACATATTATTTCATTCCACCAAGGAAGACATCTATCATGTCTTAGTTCTATACTCATGTAGTTGTAAATGGCATGTTGACGGTCAACGTCTCTTCAGGAATATCAATTTGGTTCCCAAAAGATTAGTAACACCAAATGAAAATGCTAGCAACAAACTAGATGAGTAGTCCTTATTTAAAAAAAGTCAAAGCACTTGAGATTTTTAGAGCGCATTCAAAAGAGTGTCTTGCTAACATTCCTCAACACCAAAATTACACCGTAAGCGATTGTTTTGTCACCAGATGAAACCAACGTAATCCAATGAAACAGCAACTTTTGGACCGTTTTATATAAAAACATCATAATTCGGGGATCAAATTGAGGCAACAATCTTCGTAGGCTCCAAAAACCTTTAGTGCAACTTTTCCAAGTTTTCTCCCAAAAATAAAAGCAAATTTAACCACCAAAATCTAAATCAGACATACAATACAAACAAAGAGCGATACAAATAACGGAAGAAAACTAAGAAGCGTACTTTCAGAGCAGGTGATTGACCACGAATAATCTTGCAGAAAACGCAATCCTCTTGAAAATTGTCGTTTTGAGTATCGGAAGCAGAAGCACAAAGCAAAGCCGATAGGTGTGACGAGGGAGGATCCGAATACCAAAGGGTCGGGTTCGGGTTGAGATGGGCGCACAAAACGGCAAGCCTCCTTGCCTCCACGGACATCGTAGTTGCCGTCTAAATCAAAACGCTATGAATCTATCTATCAATGGTTGGGAGCGAAGGAGCATTGCATGGTGTTTGAAATTAGAGAGAGGAAAATGCAACGACTATGCTTCATTTGTTTTTGTAGTTTTGTTTGAGTTGGTGTGCACGCGAGGCTTGGCTTATCCACTCGCGGGGAATGAGGGATGTGGAGTGGGTATGCGATGGTCAACCATTGCTTGCTCCGCTTTTGTTGGTATATTTCGTTTTTGAAGCTAAAGTAAAATAAATAAACAAATTGAAATAAAATATATTAGAGTGAACACACGTTAAGTATTAGTTTTTTTAATTTTTAATTTTTTTCTAAATGAAATTTTATTACATTTTTATATTTTTTTTTAAATTGAATTTTTAAATTAAGTATGCATTATTTTAATGATTTTAAATATTTTTGTTTTTAATACATATTGTCATATTTGAGTTTTGACATTAATTTATTATTCATTTTTTTATAATTTTGAATGGCTTTCACTTTTATTTTTATTTATATTTTTTAAATTTACTTAAATTTAAAAATATATCACTAGTTTATCTAATTTTAAGATGGGTGTATTCATACTATTTGCAGACAAATTTTTTTTTTCTTCTCTTCTTTGTATTGCTTATATTGTATGCATCACACTTATTTGTAGAGTTGTTATATCATGGTGCCAATATTATCTAAGAGCCTTAGATAGTACAGCATAAGAAATGGGTAGGAAAATTTCACAACTCTAAATTATTAATAAGTCAATCAATTTAGCTTTTGACAATTAATGAGATTTTTACATAAAAAACTAGATAGTAAGTAACCAAAGTTTTTAATCAATTGAGGTAAGTTGCAATTATGGACATGCTCAAGGAGGTATTGTGACATTTCAAGAATTAGTGAAGGAGGAGGTTTCTGGCTGGATCTATTGTATCTTAGATGTTGATGAAGGTGAAGAGTGATCTTCAATGTAATGAGGCATAAACAATGAGCAGCTCTTGACAAGCTTTCAACCAAGAAAAAAACACATGAATGAATCGAACATATATAGAAATGAGAGAGATCCTAAAACTAGATAGAGATGAGATTATAAAATTAAAGATAATTTAAAAGAAATTGATTAATACTAGTTATACTAACACAATACATTTACTTTTTGTTAGCCTATCACTTAAAAATTTTAAAATTAAGCAAACACACTAAAAAGTCTGTATTAGTTTACTGGAATTATGCTTAACTCTAAATCACTTAGTTATTACATAGAATTTTTTTTTAAAAAAAGACTTTTTTATAAAGTATAAAGAAATAATTATATAATCATTTTTTTACATTTTAGGGTCACATTAAAGTTGAACATAAAAATTGCTTTGTTATCAATAATTTAAAAAAAAAATCTTAACAATATATTCTCAAAGATACTCTTTCTACCACAATCTTAATTATTAATTAAAATTTATTAAAAAAATATACATGTTTTATTTATTCATTTTTAATTTAATTTAATTATTTTATCATATTTTTATATCTTTTAATAAATTTTAACTAATAATTAAAAGTATATTAAAAAAATATGTTAGAGAATATATTCTTAGTCTTTTTTTAATAAAGAAAATATAAATATGAAATAGTGTGCTTGTCAAAGAGAGATTAAATAAAGATGAGGATAACTGATTTCCTTAAAAACACTACTATAGTTGACGTAGTCATTAAAAAAAAAAAAACAGCTTGTTAGTGGACTAACTAAACAATGTATTTTAAGTTAGTGCAATAGTACCACTACTATGGCTATGGACCATGATCTTACAAGCATGTAAACATGGTTAAAAGGTTAGAAATGTGGAAAATAGATTTAGTGAAAGTTAAAAACTAATTTAAGCTTATAAATATTAATTATATAGCAAATCGTAGAAAATTTAACAAACACATTAATCAAACTGAAACTTTTACTTTCAATCATCTTTCAAGTCATTCTTTAGATGTCATCATATTATAATTTTATCATTTTTCTTGAGAATTGTCTTCATCGCATTTCACTTACAATTTTCTTTTATAATTTTTTAATAAAATTTAACATTGGATAATCGTTCTAAGAACCGCAATCATAAATAGTGTTTAACAATGGATATCAATGAAAAGAACCATTCATTCACATTTAGCTTGAAATAAATTTTCATAGGAGGCTTCCGGCACAAAAAGACTTTCACTCTAATTCAAAATATTAACTGCAGAATCAGATTTAAAAAACAGATAGTTTAGCATGGTTTAAAATCTACCTCAAAACTAGATTAGAATAATTACTATATATTGGAATTGAAGACCAACTCATTTCTTTGTTTTCAGAAGAACCAACAGACGACACCAAATAGACTGTATCCAATATTCCAACCGAGCTTATATTTGCATATATAATTTTATTTATGAAATTAACTTCTCACTTATATTTATATAATTATATATTTATAAAATTATAATACTTAACTTTTTTCTTATTTTCTTTTCAAAATTATTTTTTATCATTGTTATAGATTTACTTTAGTATTTTAATGTATTTATTTTACAATGATTTAAAATTATTCTTGTATGTCATATGTTTACTTTGAATTAAAAGTATTGTAAAAAAATATAAATAATTTATTCAGTTCTATTTAATTAAATTAAAAATAAAACTATAAAAACTAAATTATTCAATTCAAATTACTTTTTGTACTAGATAAGGCACCACTCAGTTTTACTTGTAGAAAAATAAAACCGAGTACCACTAACTCATAAAGCTCATTAGCCCATAATAATGCCTATAAAAAAAAAGTAAGAGATACAAGTAAAAGGTTGACTTCTGATTAATAAATAATATTTATTGCCTAAATCAATACCTGACTTTATCATCAGAGTGCTTTTTACAGGTATATTCTCCCATGTCGTGTCAACAGTGTTAGGAAGGACGTCATTTCAATCCAGAAGAGACGGGAAGATCAATGATTCCTCAACAGGAACACTTTTAATTGGATCGAATTATTTTTTTTAATTAATCAAAATTAAATTAAGATAATTTTTACAGTTAAAACAAATGCCTTTTTTTTTTCTTTTTCAAAAATGAACTCAATTCAATGTTCGTACACACCCCTTATAAATTCTATGTCAACCAAAGATAGATATATGAAAAAGTTACCTATTGAACACGAAAGAACTACGACAGTAAATAAATAAATGTAAAAATTAAATTATAAATTTAGTTTTTATTCGTTATAGATTTTTTTAAAAGGGTTATAATTTAGTTTTATATAAGTAAACAATTTCTTTTGTTAGTTTTAACGTGCTGACTGTGTTAAATTAAAAAAATTAAAACATAAATGTTAACTATAGAGTCTAATTTGTAAACGAATGTTAATTTTAAATATCAAATGTACTTTAATTATAAATAAAAAATTTATATTTTTAAACAAACTTATTTAATATGATTTCATATTTAAGATTATAATTTAAAAAATATATTTTTAATATTTTATAAAACTAATATACAATAAAATTATAATAAAAATATCATGCTAATACTTTATTCATTTATTTAAAAGTAAAATAAAAGATAAAAAAAATTAATTCCACCTCTTAGAGTTGAATTATGTTGATCTTGTGTTTATTTTATTTTATAAAATTGTTAATTTTATTTTTTAAAGTTGAGTTAAAACATTTAAAAATAGAATATTTTTATTAAAAATATATATACATGCAATGTATTAAAGTTATAAAAAAATTATTTTAACTAAATTTTAGTATAATTAATTGTTTAATCTTAATATTAAGAGTTAAAATTAAAAAAAAATGTATATCAAGTTTCCCTTCCTCGTGGTGGGCTTTGACTCAATGGTGATAACCCAAGTTTTGTGGTATCTAACAAGGTGACAAACTTCACCTAATTAAGATGGTGACAGGAACAACATGAGAGCTGTTTAAAAATAATGACTTTATAAATGATTAAATAATAAATTTAATAAATTAAAGACAGCAAGAACCTACGTAGAAGGTAAAATGTTTTGACCGATATGCACTTAAAATGTGTGTTTATTATCTCATTTAAGTGTTTATTTTTATTTTTATTTTTATTTAAGTAATTTTTATTTAAAATATTATTTTTTCTTACTTATAATTATATTTATACTAGAAGTATTTTATATAAAAAAATTCTTAAATAAGAATAGGATAGTAAAACATGATTTTGTCCTACTTTGTCTTTTTAAACATGCCAAAAAATGGATGTTTAACTCAGTCTGGTTTTTTAGGCGAGTTAAAAGTATTAATCCACCCTACTTTTGAAATAAGTTGATCCATTTAAAGAATAAAAAAATTAAAATAATATAAATTAGACAAAAATCATAAGAAGTAATAAAAATCATACATATATATGTATAATTAAATTATAAATTAATTAAATGACTATTTTTATTAAAATTAAAGTTTTACTTTTAAAATTTATTAAGTTTAAATATATAAAAATGCATGACGTATAAGAAAATTTTTGGTTTTATATTTTTAAAAACATTTAACCTGACATATCAACTCATTTATCACCAATTTATTTTTAAAAATTTGACGAGTTAGGCAGGTCAACTCAACCTAATCTAAATAAAAAAGATAGAATTGTTTAAGGTATACTTCACCTATTAATCAAGAGTATTTTTTTCTTAAACCATTAAATTATTTGATTTATCAATATATCATAATTAAACATCATAAGATTAAACTTTATGATTGATAAATGAGAAAATATTTGAGTGAAAAATGATAATTAGTGATTATATTATGTTGACTCAATAATTTATTTACAATATAGTTCTCAATACTAAAAATAAGCAATAGATAATAAATAATTGAAGTATAAATTTATTTAATGGCAAAAAAAGTATAAATTTATTTTCAAGTAATTAAATAATATGAATTTAATTATATACATATGTATTTCATGGATATAGTAAAATACTAAAGAAAAAATAGATTTCTTATTAAAATAACATCAAACATTATAAAATTCAAATAATCTACCAAAACATAAAATAAAATAAAAGATAAGAGAATTATATAATTATTAAATAATACTATAAAAAGAAGAAATAATAATAAAATAAAATAAATACACACTATCATATTCAAAGTCAATACTAATACTTTAATATCTTATATTAGTTTTGTTGATTTTTTTTTTATAACAGTAAGTAAAATATTTAAAAATTAAAAAT